GGGGGTGCCAGCATGTGGGAGGCTAAACTGAACAAACACAAAAGCATTCCTGGTGCCATTCCTCTGATGCCGATGTGGTCATTCCTACAAACCGGAGAGGCGAATGGAGGCATCTGGGCTCTGGGGGGAGACAAAGGGGGAGGCTGTCGGCCCACCGGGGCTCATCCTCACCCTGGACACGCTTGTTACCCCTCAGCTCTTAAAAGGGGAGAAACGAGAAAAGAGAGAGAGGGGATAAAGAATGGAGACAGAAGGATGTATAATATGGATTTGGGGAGTAGAGCAGGTTCAGAAGGAAGAGACAGATTGGACAAAGTCAGTGACTATTTAAGCAACACTAATCAATATGTGTTTATATGAGCCGTGGATCAAATGAATGTGTAATGTGAAAGGGAGACTAATTGTGACAAACCAACAGAGAATATTCACCAGCTAGTGCAGAGTTACAAAGCAATTGGCATATTTTAGCTCACAGGTTCATGTTTTACAGATAAATATATTTCTCAGGAGATGGTGGGGACCCAAAACAGAGCTAAAAGAATAATGAATAATGGACATAGATTCATCAAGTTGAAACACACACGACTCCAAATTAATGCTACTGTTACTTTGAGGCTCTTCTTTTTTTTAATATAGTGTTGCTTGACTCAAAACACCGCATGGACCAGTAGTGGAGAAGCTATTCATGGCTGGAAATGAGTAAAACAAGTATTGCCCCAAGGAAAACAAAACATGTTGGGAACTTTTCAAATCTAAAATCAGAAGTGTGAAACTATGGTTTATTGGTGGCTTTTTGCAGCTTACATTATCTCCAGTTTTCTGGTCTAATAATGTTGTACTAGGCAACCAAATAATGCACAATTAAGGCAAATACTGTGTGTAGTTCAAAGAGGATGAGTACACAGGTAGAGAGCCAGACATCATTGGATTGATCGCCAATGATCGTCATTGGGTTCAGTCTAAATCTGCAGTTTAAATAATGCTTTGAGATTAATTAAGCAGCTCTGCCTTTGAAGAAAAGTTGTAAATGAGCTTAATTTAAAATGCAAAAAAGCTGAGGAATGGTGAAGAGAGGCCATTCATTAATGGAGGTCAGGAAAAGAAAATGAGGAGGTAAATAAAGAAAATAGTGAGTTAACAGACGAAGAACAACGAAAAGTATAAATGTTATCCAGGCGAGGGAACCAGAGCGGCAACAAACAGCTGAGAGACCTGTTGAAACTTTATAAAACACACACTCTGATAAACACCCAGTTACACACACACATGACAGCCAACACTGGAGGGGGTGCGAGACACAACAGCTGTCCTTTTTGAGGGGAACCACAATGAAGGAGCTCTGCAGGGGGGGAGACAGCACCTGCCTCTGCTGCCCCCCCCCCCTCCACTCTCCACCCTCTCTCCTCACCCACAGGACATGGGTGGAGAGGAGGGTGAGGCGTGCGTGCCTCCAGTCGGGAGTCTTCTATTCACCCCATTCAGCTGCCTCATCTGCATACTGTTTGACTTGCTGCTTCTAATTTGGGTGCCTTCCCCTTTGAAGGCAGATGTATGTAAACAATGTCTCTTTTCATCTCGGCGAGGATCAGAAGATGACGGATTCTAGGTCATTAACCCCCGGAGGACTGACGGCTTACAAAGGCAAACCTGCTGCGCGTTCCAATCAGCCGCATAATCACCCGCAGCAGTTAGGACTAGTTGTCCAAAGTGTGTGTAAATATGCAAGGCAGCGTGCAAACCAGACTAATGAACACTGCAATGCAATGTTGGATAATTACACAAGGCAGATAGAAGCGTTGTTGGTATTTAGGAAAGTTTTGAGGGGGTGCAATAAGAGTTTAATTGTGATACTGTATACCAGAGTTTGAGCACTGAGGTTTACTCTCCGCGATTCCGAGTCCCTCACACTGTTCCACTCCTGCCTCAACTCTTCTCCTCTATCTACTCATAGCCTCATATTATTACTCATATTATTATTATTATTACTCCAACATTATGTGTCAGGATTTATCACATGGACTAAGAATGGAGCTTCAGTCACATAATATAAAGCAGTCATCCTTTAATTGTTTAGAAAAGGGGTTTTTGTTTTGGATCAGGAAGGCATTCTTTACAGAAAAAGTTTGTACATAAACCCTTAGATTAGTATTGTGGAATTGAGATTCAGGTATTCCCTAGATATTCTCAAACAAATCTACTCCCTTTCTACCAAAAGAAATCCCCAAGTTTGGAAGACTACTGTATGCAAACCTTATTAACGGTCCCAACCAACGGGTGCAACCGAATCCCAACGTCCGACATTGAAACTGAGGATTTCCCTGGTCATAATATTTAGGACTTATTCCCATAGGACAAGTTGAATAAAAACAATTTCCCCAAAAATGTCAACGCAATTCAAAATGGGGGAGGGCAATTAGACCCAGTCCAAAATGTGAAGAGGCCATAATGAAGAGAGAACAACAGCAGCACAACAAGCTACTGATTCACACAATTGTATGGGGAATTATTGTTCCCTTATTCCAGTATTACTGTGCAATCTAACATATGTAAAATGAAATCATAATAATAATAATGCAAAACAATATTATAAGATTGTATTAGTCACCGTAAGGACATTTGTTCTTGACTTGTGCTGCAGTTTTACAATGTTAATCATCACTCATACTACATAGAAGAACATTAATTACACTAACAAATGGCTAATGTACATAAATACAGTTTGCACAATACACGGATATTCCTACTGACAATATTAAAACCCCTTATGGCCAACATTTACATCCAGCGTAAAAACCTCAAATATAGTATATGTGTAAACCAGTACACACACACACACACACACACACACACACACACACACACACACACACACACACACACACACACACACACACACACACACACACACACACACACTCTATCCCACACCATCACTTGCACTGTGACCCTGCTGTTCCCCCGCAGCCACGCTCTACATATTTATAGGGAACACGTGTACGTGGGTATATCGCATGTAGTATTTACGAGTACTCTTCGGTGTGAGATGAGTACCTCTTCACGTGTGTGAGAGAGAGATAGAGAATAAAGGGGACGCAAGTGTATGCTACTGTAGGTGTTCATGCAGAAAAATTGAAAAGTTGTTATAAAACAAAATATCACTCGTCACCGGCTTGGTCTTCAATATCAGGATACATGTATTTATTATCCTTAAGAATGGAAGTAGTCATCACACACAGGGCTGCGTGGGACAAATAGTACCCAGAACAGTGTCCTTCAGATGCTTATATACAAGAGAGGGTGTTACAGTCAACAAGATGGAAAAATACTGGTTCAAAGCAGTATTCTGATATTAGTTAAGATTAGCTAAGGCCTGCGTAAGCAATAAACATGACCGTCTAATTGCCTATCTGTCTAGGGGCTGTGTCATCTTTCCAATCTGAGGAACATAGCTATCATAACTTCAACACAGTGTCTTATGAGCGTCATATTCATACATCCGGCTACGTACACAGCTACGTAGGGCCTCTCTTATCACGTGCTACTCTGATATAGAAGTAACATTCAGTATTTTCCCAACACTAGTTTTGAGTGTCATTAGTTTTGCGAGTATTCAGTTATAAACGAGAGTATTTGACAAGATGATATTTTGACCAGATGAGGGCTATGAAAGTGATAAAAGCAAAAATAGAATAACTAAATAGGGGAGAAGATGCCTACTCTATAGTTTGATAAATCAACTAATTGTTGCAACTATATAATAAACAGAGAGGATTTTATTTTATTATTATTATTATTTTGACACTTGTTTCAGCAAGTACACTTACTCTGAGAGTCTGAGTTGGACTAAATGGAAAAGAAAACAGCAACAAGCAAATGAGCTTCAGAAATAAAAACTCAAACTTTTCGCTGTGAAACAAAAACAAAAGAAGTTGAACCTTCATCTAGTATCACGTTGGGATGGAGTGACCCAAACAGGAAGCAGAAAGGAAACAAAGCCTCGCAGCTTTGTAGGGTGGGCGGCTTTTGTTTGAGTGTGTGTCAGTGAGGTTAGTCGGGATTATGGGAGGTGAAAGTGTGTGTGTTTGCAAGGTTTGTGCTCGGGTCATGGGGGGTCAACACACACATACAAACACACACTCACACATATTCAACACCTCCGACAAACAGACATCTGCAGCCTGAACTCTTCCTCTCTGAGGGTCGCATGGAGGTGTGTGTGTGTGTGTGTGTGTGTGTGTGTGTGTGTGTGTGTGTGTGTGTGTGTGTGTGTGTGTGTGTGTGTGTGTGTGTGTGTACCAAGTGTGCCTGAGGGGGCATCTCCTTAATTTATGATCCATTGTGAGGAGCACAACAGTGAACTTACTCCCAGTTCCCACACATACTCACCCACACACACACACAACAAATAACCCCCCCCCCCATATTTCCCAAACTCCCCCAACATGCCTTAATGCGTCTAAAGTTCAGTTGCCATGAAGGCAGATCAAATGTTGGACTTTTTCCCTGAGTGTGTGCTGACAGGTCAGATATAGAGCTGAACACTGATTGGCTGAACCTGAGGGGGTTGCCTGCCTCAACCTTTGATCATCAATCAACCAAACTGTATTTGTGCAGCAGGTTCGTACAAAAGGATCTGCCCTGTGATCTGCTTTGCAACACGAGAAAACTCCCCCTCAGAAACATTAGGACAGAAGGGTCCTGTTTGATAAGGCGTCAAAGCTTCACAGAGGATAACAGTCGGATTAAAAATGCAAAAGAACAGAAAACACACTAAAAACACCTGCTCCTCTCATGAAACACGGACCGGGGGAATCCCACTGATCCACCATTGATTTCAGAGTTTTAATCCACTCCATCCAGGGGAGAAGAAAAGACTAAAGAAGAGGAAGATTTCTTTTCTGCTTTGATACAACTCAGACATTGATTGCAAAAGTTATAAGCTTCACAATACAAAACAGAGCTTAAAGCAGCAGTGACAAATAAATGTGCAAAAAGAGGCAACAACAGCTTTCAAACATCTTCCCCTGAATCAAAATGTACTCTCAATTGGGACCGGACCACACAGCACTGTTGTCTGTCTGACTCATTATGAACCCATTCACACCTGGTATTAACATGCAAACAGCATATGAATATTGTATCTAGATAACTAAACACACATGTCACCACCTGTGTAAATGCATAGCTATTAGAAGGTA